CCCCAGCCTCTGCCTAGGGAAAGGGCAGTCTTTCCCTGCAGTGGGAACCAAAGCAGCTGACATCATTCTCCTCTCCCCCGTATGATCCGCACAACTACCCTATGAGGTATGTTATGGTTGAAAGTGTGTGAATGGTCCATAATCCCCCAGGCAGCTTTTAAAACGTGAACCTGGGACCTGCACACCATCCTCTGAAGTGCTCTCTGTGGCAGTAATGGGGTGACTGCTGGCACCTTTTCCTATCATTTTTTGCCTTGTGGTATTCTGCTTGTGGTGTGATCTGTCTTCTTTGTGATGTGGCATGATTGTGCTATTGGGTTTGTTTCTGTTGAAGGGGAAATGATGTGTTGTGAGTGAGAACATATTTTACCTCAGAATACACCAGGTCCCATATTCAACTGAAAATTCCAACTGCCTTGCGGGGGGGGGAGTTTGAGGTGTGGAATGGAGTGAAGTCCAATATGCAAAAGACCTTGAAACGCTGGGCGGGACTGCACAGAGCAGCCAGTCAACCCAGCCAGCGTCTTCTGACTGACAGTTCTTGCGGCCAAACACTAAAGGTGTGCATTTGGAACGTTGGAGCCCACTATGACTTTATATATAAGGGAGAGCTAGCTCTTTTCTGTGTGCATTTGAAGCAGAAGCACACTATGTTCAAAGCACTCAGCTCCCAGATTATAATGTTCATTCTAAAGCACTTTGGATAGTACTGGAGGTTGGGAGCATGGTATACATCAGATTCTTAGCATCTGCTCCCCTCTCCTCTTACGGTCTTTGGTGACTCTTCCTTTCACTGGAAAGAATAAGGAGTTAAATAGATAGAGAATGGCAATTTGTTTCCTCTTTCTTCCCAGATAGGATGATTAAAGAGCAACCAATGGGTTACACCTATTTAACATCAACTTTTGCAGACCAATAGAAGCATAAAGTGGGCCAGTATGATTGATGGACTTTCACAAGTTTTCCTATCACCTGTAAAATGAAGATTAACAATAGCTAAAAATGTCTTATTAAACTGTGCTAAGATGAAATTGTTCAAATATATTTTTAACCATTATAGGATTACAATTAAAAATTATGCCATTCCAAGTTTCTGTTATTATATTGAGTATTCCAGTAATAAATAACAAAGGGACTTCTTTTTTCTCCTAGCACAAATATAGAGTTCAAGAGAAATTGCTAAGAAACAACCATCTATTGATATATATTTACTGAAAATAGTCACCCCTTTACTTAAAGATATGGAACTGCTAAATGTGCGAGTCCAGGTGTCATGGCTACTATCGGATACCAATGATCGTGTCACCCTCTCAGTAGCAAGATTTATAGGCACAATAATCAAATGTAAGAGAAATAATACTGAGTAAGGTCTTTTAAAATATTTTCTTTGCTTCTAATTTCTGCTTAAGGTGATAACTGTATGAGAAGTACTAAATAGATAGATATTGAAAATATTTATATCTTGCTCTTCTGCAAGGGTCTGCGTATCTAACAGGTAGCATTTTTGAAAAGTATAATTACACTTCAGTACATAAATAATGAAAATAAAACTGACTCATAAAAGTTAAAAATATAATTTCCTGCACAAACCTCAACATTCTACAGATGTTACCACTCAAAGGCAATAAACAATATTTCAGTTACCATTACTCCATCCAGTAACTATCAGCAGATGGCCTTCTGGAATACCCAGGCTTCTCTAAAGTCCAAAGGTGTTGGGATTTAACATACTGCTTCAGGGAGACAGTTCCATAATTGAGGGGCACCTATGGAAAAAGCCCAGTCTCTGATAAGAGAATAAATGTACTGTTTGAGAAGATGTACTGTTCAGAAGAGATTGTTGGGTTGACGTAAGCATACACACAGGTGTGTGCCAAGAGAAGTAGTCACAATATGTAGGCCCAAACCATTAAAGGAGTTTATTAAATGCCATAAAAATTATATTAAATAATCCATCTCAAACAGATGTTTAATATTTTAAATAATGGTCTAACAAGGGACAGCAGCAGACATAAAGAGCTCATTAAAAGTCTAGTTTTTTCCTTAGTCCCTTTATCTCCCCATTAGTAGTGTCAACTTTAATTAACTTTAATTATTACCATATCTTAGGTAACTTTACCTTTGAAATGCACAAGGTAAGACTAGAATGTGATTGTTATTTTTTAGCAGTAGAAATATGTGGTATACATGGAAATCAAGTCTAGAATGAGTCTGCCTTTAGCTGTTAAGACTATAAAACGGAAAACAAAAGATCTAAAATACGTTTTGAAAAACATGCTTTCAAGAAATTGTTTCCTTAGAAGGAAACAGGAGAAGTAAACTGTAATTGTGTGAATGGTACATCCAGTTTCATGCCCTCTAGTATGAAAAGGCTCTTGGCTCTATCATATCGAAAGCGTAATACAGTATGGGGTACTGGCAACGTAGATGCTGACTTTATATATTGTTGATAACTGAAAATAAAATGATCTGTACATATACTTAATAAGGAAATTACAGGGTACAATTTATCCTTAAATCCTCTCGTTCTTCTGTCGGGTGATCTGAGTCTAACAAAGGATTAAAATAAACTGATGTATAGCATAATTGCAACAGCCAAAAGCTATAAAGCATTGAACATTTCCCCCAAAAATGAAGAAATTATGCCCAGCTTAAGAACACCATTGAACTTTGATATAATTAACTAATTTTATCTGTGTTGGAGATAGAAGAATAGCAAACAATTTTAAATTGAAGCAACAATAGATGTTGTTTACCTTGACTTCCAGAAAGCTTTTGATAAAGTTCCTCATCAAAGGCTCCTAAGTAAGCCTAATAGTCATGGGATAAAAGGACAAGTCCTTTTGTGGATCAAAAACTGGCTAATTAATAGGAAACAGAGGGTGAGCATAAATGGGAAGTTTTCTCAGTGGAGGGTGGTAAGCAGTGGGGTACCACAGGGATCAGTACTCAGTCCGATGCTTTTTTTTATTAAATTGGAGTTGGACGTAAGTAGTGAAGTGGCTAAATTTGCAGATGACATGAAGTTGTTCAGGGTGGTGACAACCAGGGAGGATTGTGAGGCACTCCAAAGGGATCTGTCAAGGATGGGCGAGTGGGCGACAACATGGCAAATGGGGTTCAATGTGGCCAAAGTGCAAAGTGATGCAAATTGGAGCCAAAAGTCCTAACTATAGATACACGTTGATATGGGGCTCGAACTGGCAGAGACTGACCAAGAGAGAGATCTTGGAGTCACAGTAGATAACTCACTGAAAATGTCGAGACAGTGTGCAACTGCAATAAAAAAGGCCAACGCTATGCTGGGGATTATTAGGAAGGGAGTTGAAAACAAATCAGCCAGTATCATAATGCCCCTGTATAAATCAATGGTGTAATCTCATCTGGAGTACTGTGTACAGTTCTGGTCACCACACCTCAAAAAGGATATTATAGCATTGGAAAAACTGCAGAAAAGGGCAACTAGAATGATAAAAGGGTTGGAACACTTTCCCTATGAGGAAACGTTAAAGTGCTTAGCGCTCTTTAGCTTGGATAAACGGCGACTGAGGGGTGACATGATTGAGGTTTATAATATTATGGATGGGATAGAGCAGGTAGAGAAAGAAGTTCTTTTCTCCCTTTCTCACAATACAAGAACTCTTGGGCACTCAATGAGATTACTGAGAGGTTAGAATAGATAAAAGGAAGTACTTCTTCACCCAAAGAGTGATTAACACATGGAATTCACTGCCACAGGAGGTGGTGGTGGGTGGTTACAAGCATGGATGGCTTCAAGAGGGAATTGGATAAACATATGGAGCAGAGGTCCATCAATGGCTATTAGCCACAAGGTATAGATAGGAACTCTCAGTCTGGGGCAAGTGATGGCACCTGGTATTTTTGGCCATTGTGTGACAGAGTGGTATTTTAGCCACAAGGTATAGGTAGGGACTCTGGGGCAAGTGATGCTCTGTCATCTTGGTGCTTGGGGGGGTCAACAGTGGGATGGCTTCTAATGTCCTGGCCCCACTGGTGGACCTCCTGATGGCACTGGTATTTCTGGCCACTGTGTGATACAGAGTGTTGGACTGGATGGGCCTTTGGCCTGATCAAACATTGGCATCTCTTATGTTCTTATGTTAGTGTTGGACTGGATGGGCCATTGATCTGATCCATCATTGGCTTCTCTTATGTTCTAAGAATGGCAATCTTTTTTTTTTTTGCCTGCTATAATTTTATTTTGATTTTTCTGTTTTCTTTATATGATCTCTATTTCTGTCATTCTTGATATAATTTCTGTGTGCTATATATTTAATATAAAATTCCATAATATCTTAAATTCATTAGTTTATAGTCCAAAGATCTTTGGGGTCAAGCCATCAGTGTTTTAACTCTCCTGGAATGGTTTGCAGCATATAAGATTAAACAAAAGGGGAAATGTAGCAGCCATAGCAAATGTTTGTGAGCCAAATGCAGACAATGTTCTGATTCTACCCGAGGCAGGAATCAGGCATGCAGCTTGACCACTAAGCAGGGTGTCTTCCTGTTAAAGAAAGAACAGCTCAGACAAATACTCTGTTATATAAGTCTCTAGAAGTATACTTCTATAATTGTATGATATAATTGTATAGATAGGAACTCTCAGGCTGGGGCAAGTGATGCTCTGTATTCTTGGTGCTTGGGGGGAGCAACAGTGGGAGGGCTTCTAGTGTCCTGGCCCAACTGCTGGACCTCCTGATGGCACCTGGTATTTTTGGCTGCTGTGTGACAGAGTGTTGGATTGGATGGACCATTGGCCTAATCCAACATTGGATTCTCTTATGTTCTTACGAGTTCCTTAAGTCTAAATTTTGTTCCTTATCTGTTTCAGGCAGCTTTTACACTCCTGTTGGGTCCATTCACCTTTTTTAATGTGCAGAAAACAAAATATCTACAGATTATGACATCACTAATGAGATGGATAGGTAAGTCCATGAACCTCTGCTCCATGTATACATAAGAATGCACACAGTACCTCAGTTCCACTAATCAGACTTCTTTGGTGCCACCCATACAAACCCTAACAGTTACTGCTCAGAGAACTAATTCTTGGATTGATTGCTCTTTTGTAACTTTTTCTGTAATATAAAACTATAAATAAATACATAAATAAATCGTGTTAATCATGCACCAGTAATTTTTATTGAAAATCCAAAGAAGTTGTTAACTCTTGGGTGTGTGTCTTGAAAAAGGTGGGGTACATATATTCACTTAATGAATCAATTAATTGTTTCAGCATTTAATAGTCTTTTTACTAGAGAGGACTGACATAATTTAAAAGGTAACTAGTGGCAATGATTTTTAATAACTAATTTGTCATCTGATGTGAATCATTCTGCTATTTGTGAGTGCATTTAAGTCATACCTTGGAAAACAATTTATTAGTATTGGAGCTTTCCTGGGGGGGGGGAGATGGCAAGAGAGCATTTATACTCTTTAAGAAGTTGGAATACTGGAGAAAGATCATAATCATGTAACAGAGTACATATCTAGAAAACTAGGAAATGGTAAAGAACTGGTTCAAATCTCCAGGTTTAAAAAATCACATAGATGGTTCTGGTATCTCTAACTCCTCCTTCCTCATCGTCATCTGACAAAAATTCCCCTTCCTCTCTGTCCTCCAGAACACTGTCCTCTTCTTTTAAGGGGTCTCAATGCAGATGGTCCCTCATGGCAGAGTAATGATCTTTCCTGCCTGCTTTGGTTAGCCAGCGAGGTCTGTCTTCCTCTGGGAGGGGTCTATCTAAATCTAAATCTTCCTGCCTGTAGTTTCTTTGGGTTGGGGAGGAAGATGGGGAACTATCTCCCATGAGGTTTGTTTGGCAGTAACTGGAGATTTCCTCCCTCATGGTTTGCCTTAAGAACTGCTTAAGCTCAGCTGAGAGCAAGGAGTCCCCCCCCCCTTTGGGGTTACTCACGACTAAACCCAGCTGTGATACTGCACCTCCGGAGGCATCTGTTGCCATGACTTGGGCATTAGGGATGTCCTGCCCATCACTGACATTCATAGCCTGGCTTATGGAAGTGGACACAGCCACTCTGCAGCCTTCCCCTGCTCTCTCTGATGGTCTCCGAAGTGCAGGTGTATCCAAGATGGCACCCATGCCGCAAGCCATGGGTGGGGGATGAGGCCGCCTTTTTACACACTTTTCCTTTGGCGTGTCTTGAGGTCCAGGAATGGCGGGGTTCGTGGTTCTGGCTGCCCCCGAGGTGGCTTGATGTTGACAGTGGTGAGGGAAGCTTCCCTTTCACCCTCTGAGAGAAATCTGTCTGAGCCATCCTGATCCGACATGCTCTAGCCGGAGCATCGGGGAGGACAAAAGGTTGGACATATGTAGCCAAGGTTACAAAAAGGCAGGAAAGAACAGACTAGGAGAACCAAGAAGAGGAAGGGAGAAAATGTGGTGAGGAGGAAAACGGAGGAGGCCTAGGTTGAAAATAGACAAAACGTAGGCACAAGCCTAATTTGTGCTGCTTTCCCTTGTGAGGCAGAAACAGAACTGGGTTGAGGAGTGTGTCCCACCGAGAGAACCAGAAGTGGAAAGGTTGGTTCCTGCCTCCCTACAGATAGGCTGGGAAACACCCATCAAGATGTCCTCCCCTCATAGGGTGAAGGCTCTTTAAGAGAAGGTTTTACTTAAAATGCACAGCAAGACAATAAGGATAATACCTAGATATACTGTAGCCATTTACAACATATTTTCAAGAATATCTTGGCAGCAATTAATATATCATTATCTGTTTAATGATAATACATTATTAAAGATTTCAGTATTTTCAATGTTATAAAGTTTAACTTTATGCATAAATATGTTGGTCTGATGAAGACGGAATATACATTAAAATATTGATTGATAGCAGATGTTTCAGTTCAAGGGATGGAAGGGGGAGATGAGTTTGTTCAATCTCCCCAACAACTTGCAGAACCATGAAGGGGAAATTTGGGTTGAATAAAGTGAAATTCTAAATTGTCCATCTCTCCCCCCCCCCCCCATTTCCTGATAGGCTCCCAGCTTGTTCTTTCTAAGAGTAATAGATGGCAATACTCCCTCTAAGCTGTGGAGTCTTGTGAGCAAAAATTCTACTTTGTGAGCTACTGGCATTAAAGTTGTGAGTGTGTGATTTGGCTACTGCATAAGTTAGTTTGCTCTGGAGCCATCCATCCTGAGCTAAGACAAAAGTGTGTGAGCCGCAGGCTAAAAAAAATGTGAGCTAGCTCACACTAACTCAGCTTAGAGGGAACAGTGGATGGCATCCTGGTAATTACTAAATCATACAGGACAATACATAAACTAAGTTTCTGCATATTTGGGGGAATTCCTTGGTATGCAGAAAAATATCAATTTCCTCAGTCATCCTTCAAATAGGTAGCACTTCTCTAAAAACTCAAGAGAAAGAACCATGTATATAGGTACAATTCCACCTTCTCCTTCTCAGTAGCTAAGCACAGGAACCTCCCATAGTGAGGCAGACCTTGATCCATAAAATTCAGTCATGGATTCTTCCTGCACTCCCCTCCACATCCTGGAAAAGTTGATAGCCTGGATGGCAGAACCCACTGGGACTACAATTTTTTTCCCCCACTGGGACTACAATTAACAGCTATGGAGGTCAGGGTCTGCGCTGAAGAGGGGGAAGAAGGACAATCCAGCCTCTTATATCAGTGGAGCAGGCACTTGTAGAAGAGAGAGAAGGGGAAGACTAAAAGTGGTTAGCCGTCTTCAGTGCAGACCCACAACCCTCATAGTTGTCAGTCCCCATGGATTCTGCAGTCCCAAGAAACAACTTTTATGGGTTTGGAAAGGATGGCTGGAGGAGGGGAATATAGGAAAGTTCTCAGATGCTTGCACCCATAGATCATGGGATCCAGCATTTTCCACTGTCTCAGGCAGAGAAAAGCTTCTTGCAATGCTTGAAAGTTTCTAATTGGAGGTGCCTGAGATAGAACCAGGTACCTTCTGCATGCAAAACATGCACTCTACTAGTGAGCACAGGGCCCTACCCATGGTGGAACCAAAGTGGATTATGAAGATATCCAACAGGATTCACTCTAGTTGGATGTGGGCATGGAACTGACCAAGGAATAATGATCTAATTTCCATGTTGATTTGATTTCTGCACCTATAACACTATGCACATATATACATATGTAGGCATAGTTTGAATATTAGAAAGAATGTATTAGAAAGAAAAGTTTTAGCAAGTCTGCTTTTCTTTTGCTGAATAAAGTCCAAAGCTAGTTCTGTGTAAAAGTAAGCTAATACACATTCTTTTCTTATCTGTGTCTTTGGCTAGAACAGCAGTCTTGTAATACTGATGGACCTTGAATGTAGCATTAATGAGAGATACAGGGTAAGGATTGGGGGCTGTGAAGTGAATGAATCTGGAAGGCCTTTTGTCTCTAGTGGAGACTTATGTGTTATGATAGCAAGTTCCAAAGAGTCTGTAGCAACTCAGTGATTTGCACCTCTTATCTAAGCATGAGCCTTTTTGGTCAAAGATGGTCAAAGAAGACTGCTTTGTTTTTTGTCAGATAAACAATATAACATTACCCCTAATTGGGGTCTGCCAATGAATGAATGCCAATGAATGAATGCCAACTCAAATGATGCTCCTTTACCTATAACCAATGTTTCTATATGTTGTTACCTCTGTCTATGTCATTTGGGTATATAACACTATACCCTTCCTGATCCAAGTCAGAAAGCAGCTTTGATTTGCAGGCAATTTGTTGCTTAGCACTGTTTTCCTGTTTATTGGTCCACGGGGGTGCAAGGAGCAGTGAGGTGGGATGGGGATCCCCACTTCTCTTTGTGGTGCTGTGGGTGAGAAAGGCTCTTCCCACTGCTCAGACGGAGGAACTGAGGTCACAATGCCGGGGGCCCGTTCTTTCCCGGGGTAGCCGCTCGGCTCTGGGAGGCCGCTCAGAGTTTGGGGCTTTTGTGGTACTACGGGGTGAGGAGGGACTTGTAGCCGCAAGGTCAGATGGGCGGACAGCCGAGTCCTCCCTGCTCTGGACGGAGCGTGGCAGTCAACAAGGGATAGCGGAGCAGCCCCGTTTTGCAGGTAATTTGTCAGGGACAGGATGTGGCCCTTTGATGCTGGCCAGGGAGCCCTTTGCCGTTGTGGTGGAGGGTCTGCTGGGGGACTCCATTTGCCCGCCGTATCTCTCCTTTTTATCTGACATGGGTGGTTTGCTTGTTTTCCCCCACATTTGCCATCAGATAGGCTCGCCAGCTCTGAGTTGGCAATACCTTGGAGATTTTGGGGGTGGAGCCTGAGTGGTGGGTTTAGATTCAGAGGAATTAGCTGTGTTAGTCTGTTGCTACGAAACGACCCCTGCCAATAACTTCTTACTAAGACCTTGGCTGCTTTAAAGCTACAACCAAAATCTCCAGCAGAGGTATTCAGTAATTCCCCCCCTCAGATGAATCCAGGCCAAAAGGGAGCAAGGAATATTTCCCCAGGACCTCTGGGACACAGAGGGTTTTCCCATTTCCTGAGTTCCTGGAAAAACATCTTAAGAATGAGTGGGCCAAACCCATGGTGAATAAACATTGTCCTCAGCTGAGCAACCCACTGGCTGAGCCCCTCTGCCTGTCTGTAGCAGAGGGACAGGTGCCTCAGAGCCCTGAAGCACCAACACTGTTCATACAGACTTCCAATTCCTTCCCTCTCTGTCTCTAACAGTAACTATTCCCTCTTTGCCGAACTGCCTGCTGCAAAGCGAAAGCCGCTGAGTGTGAGCTGGAGGTAGAACAGAATGGGAGGTCTTTTGTTGGCAGCCAGAGCTGCCTATCAAGCTTTGGAGGACCTCTATTGGTGTTTCTGGGGCTGCAGAAGTCCACCACCCCCATCATTGTGTGTACAGTTGATTCATAGGAACCAGCATGTCTGGCTCACAAACCTCAATGAAAATGATTCA